AAAGCGTTTGACACAGTAGACCACGGCATCCTACTCCACAAACTTGAGCACTATGGTATAAGAGGCCATGCGCTTGCATATTTTAAATCCTACCTTTCTAACAGGTATCAGTATGTCACCATTAAAGACACAGCCTCATCAATACAGCCACTTGATACTGGAGTTCCGCAGGGAAGTGTCCTTGGACCCCTGCTCTTCCTCATTTACGTCAATGATCTTCCAAACATATCCCAACACCTGAAACCCATTGTCTTTGCTGACGACACGACTTATGTCATCTCCCACCCTAATCTTGCCACCCTCAACACCATTGTTAACGAGGAGCTGCTCAAAATACCAACTTGGATGACAGCCAATAAACTTACACTTAACACTGGCAAAACCTACTATACAGTGGTCCCTCGTTTTTCATAATTAATCCGTTCCTGGAGCCGTTACTATAAACGAAATTTACGATTTACGAATCAATTTTCCCATAAGATAATAATGTAAATACGATAATCCATTCCTGACACCAGAAGTATTAAAACAAAAAAAATTTTTACATGAAATATACATGTAGTACATATACAATACAATGGGAAATGATGAATGAAACATTAACAGCATAACACTTACCTTTATTGGAGATTCTTCTTAGTGTATGGGAGACTGGAGGAGAAGAGAGAGTGGATTGTTTATAGTTTGGAAGGGGAATCCCCTTCCAGCAACACTTCAGGTACCAATTGCTTTTCTGGGGTTGCTTGTCTTCTCTGTTTTCTTAATGCCACTAGGACCACCTGAGAGTCACTGGAGTCCTGTCTCGCAAAATAACTGTGGAGAGAGCTCTGTTTCTGACGTCTCTTAACACTTCCCTTAAATGGCCCAAGACTTTGTCACTGTACATGTTGCCAACCTGGCTTGCAACAACCTTGTTAGGGTGATGTTTCTCCATAAAGCTTTCCATCTTACCCTACATAGTAAAATCTCTTTAATTTCTGAAGAAGGCACCTTCTTCCATCTCTCTTCCTCCTCCTCTGCAGCAAGATTCTGAGCTGCGATGTGTTGCTCTTCCTGCTGAAGCTCTTGCAGCTCCTCAGTGGTGAGCTCTTCGTTGTGGTCTTCCACCAATTCTTCCGCATCCTCCAAACTCAATCCAACCCCATGGAACTCCTCAGTGCCACAATTGATTTTACAACAGACATAGGCTCATTAGGGTCAGTCCCAAACCCTTCAAAATCCCTCTTGTCGACACAATCTGGCCACAATTTTCTCCAGGCAGAGTTCAAAGCCCTGGTAGTCACTGCCTCCCAAGCCATACCTATAAGGGTTATGCAATTGAAGGATGCTGAAGTGTTCTCTCCAAAATTCCCCTAGGGTCAAGTGAGTGTCTGTGGTCACAGTCAAGCACCTGTGAAACATTGCTTTTGTGTAGAGTTTTTTAAAGTTTGCAATGACCTGCAACCATGGGCTGGGGAGAGGAGTGGCATTTGGGGGCAAGAATTTTACTGTGATGAACCCAAACTCCTCGAAAATTAGGTCATCCAAGTTTGGAGGATGAGCAGGTGCATTGTCCATTACTAACAGGCACTTGAGATCCAATTTCTTTTCCAGGAGATACCCTTCACACTAGGGCCAAACACTTCATTGAACCACTCAACGAAAATTTCCCTCGTGACCCATGCCTTACTATTAGATTTCCAAAACACACACAATTTACTCTTCGTAACATTGTTTTTCCTGAACACTCTGGGATTTTCAGAATGGTACACTAGTAATGGCTTCACTTTGAAATCCCCACTAGCATTAGCACAGAACATTTAGCGTCAGCCTGTCTTTCATAGGCTTGTGTCCTGGCATTGCCTTTTCCTCTTGTGTAATGAAGGTCCTCTTTGGCATTTTCTTCCAAAAGAGGCCTGTTTCATCACAGTTGAACACTTGTTCAGGTTTCAGTCCTTCAGCCTCTATGTACTCCTGGAATTCATGCACATATTTTTCAGCCGCCTTGTGGTCCGAACTGGCAGCCTCGCCATGCCTTACCACACTGTGTATGCCAGTACGGTTCTTAAATCTCTCAAACCAGCCTTTGCTGGCCTTAAATTCACCCACATCACCACTATTTGCAGGCAATTTCGCGATAGCATCGCGAACCTGGGGTCCACCGTATGTAGATAGATTGAGAAATTTGATGTTCTACCCTTTTTTTTTTTTATATGTAAGCCTTACAGGGGTTCCCATAATTAATAATGAGTAATGACATTGGCATTTCGGAAAAATTAAGTTACGTACTGTATTTAATATTTAACCTCCCTGGGTTAAACGTATAACCCTTTTGCTGACTGTGCCGTAGTAATACGCCTTTGAGTTCACTGCCATGCCGTAGTACTATGTGATGAGCTCACCTCACTCAGATAAGCTGTGAGCAGTAAATTTGGGCCTTGATATGAGAAATTGGATTGATGTGGTAAGTGTGCACCATATAAAAAAAACGGCAGCATGCAGTGCACAATGAGAAAAAAGTATGATTGTGTTTTTTGGTTTAAAATAGCAACTTTGTGGTGCATTTTCTTAGGGTTTTTTATGATTGTATTCTCAGTTTCTTGTATAATTTGATAGAATGGATGATATATGCAGAAATAGAGATGATTTTGATTGCTTTTACGACTGAAAATATATTTACAATGAGCTCAAAATAGTGGAAATGTTCAATTTTTGCCCATGTTCAAGAGTAAAATCATGTCACACATCCATTACACATCAATTGGTGGGTCTAAATATGTGTTTTCGAATGCGCTGATATTATTTATACAATTTTTACATTATTGCATAACAGTCAATCTTCTTTTTTTTTTTTTTTTTTTTTTTTTTTTTTTTTTTTTTTTTTTTTTTTTTTTTTTTTTTTTTTTTTTTTTTTTTTTTTTTTTTTTTGTGAAAAGAAATCAAAATGGAATTCATGTGTAAAGCCTGAAAAATAGCTAATGAACAGAGGAAATGTTATTTTGGTGCCAGGAATGCCTGTATTATGTATTCTGGACCCTATTTTGAAAATGGAATATTTTGATATTTGTGTGAAATTGGGTACTTGAAAGGATTGGGCAATTTCTTGTGCTCAATCAATAAAATAGAAGAAATTCTATCAAAATAGCTAAGAATTTGGTCAACTGGAACAGTGTAATTGGCCTAAAATAGGACTCAAAGTGTGCAAAATTGCGGATGTGTAAATATCGCTGAAACAGCAAAATTTGTGAAAGCGTAATTTCATCAGTTTTCGATAAAATTTCATGCTTTTTATTTATAACTTCAGTAAGATTCTCTACCATTTCATAAGATTTTTTTTTTTTCAAGTTCTTGGACACTGTGGACAAGTTTCAGATTGGGGGGGAGGGGTATAGACACTGAAAATGTTAATGCCTATTACTTTTCACAATTTTTGAAATTTAAAAACTTGGTGGACTTTTTTGGAGGTGCAACAAATATAATCCTATTATTCTTCCTTATGTTTTTCCATCCCCATATCACTATTTTGTGTAAAGACCAGATTTTTAGGAATGTAATTGGTGTGATATAATAGATTATTGCATATTTTTCAATGCACTGTCCATCTCCCACAGAGGCAGTGTGACCTAAGAAGAAAAACAAAAGTTTTTCTTTTACATGTAATAATTTATACAAGAGAAGGGATTACTAACCCCTTGCTCCCTAGATTATTGTATATCTAGTTGAGATTTCTGCCAGTAAGCCAAAATTAAATTCTGCTCATTAAAAGATTTAACTGAGTAAACAACTATTTCTGCTAAAAAAATCACTTAAAGCACTACTTTAATTCTATAATATAGATTGTGCTCTTCTTCTCTCAACACACAGGCCGTATCCCACTGAGGCTGGGTGGCCCAAAAGGAAAAAAATGAAAGTTTTCTCCTTTTTCTTCTTTCAACACACCGGCCGAAATCCCACCGAGGCAGGGTGGCCCAAAAAGAAAAACGAAAGTTTCTTCCCTTTTACATTTAGTAATATATACAGGAGAAGGGGTTACTAGCCCCTTGCTCCTGGCATTTTAGTCGCCTCTTACAACACGCATGGCTTACGGAGGAAGAATTCTGTTCCACTTCCACATGGAGGTAAGAGGAAATAAACAAGAACAAGAACTAGTAAGAACTAATGCTTGTACATGTATGTGTATGTGTGACCTAAGTGTAAGTAGAAGTAGCAAGACGTACCTAAAACCCTTCATGTTCATGAGACAAAAAAAAAAAAGACACCAGCAATCCTACCATCATGTAAACAATTACAGGCTTCTGTTTACACTCACTTGGCAGGACAGTAGTACCTCCCTGGGTGATTGTTTCTACCACACTTCTTTCTTCTTTCAAACGTACCGGCCGTATCCCACTGAGGGGGGTGGCCCAAAAAAAAAACTGAAGTTTCTCCTTTAATTTAGTAATATATACAGGAGAAGGGGTTACTAGCCCCTTGCTCCTGGCATTTTAGTCGCCTCTTACGACACGCATGGCTTACAGAGGAAGAATTCTGTTCCACTTCCCCATGGAGATAAGAGGAAATAAACAAGAACAAGAATTAGAAAGAAAATAGAAGAAAACCCAGAGGGGTGTGTATATATATGCTTGTACATGTATGTGTAGTGTGACCTAAGTGTAAGTAGAAGTAGCAAGACTTACCTGTAATCTTGCATATTTATGAGACAGACAAAAGACACCAGCAATCCTACCATCATGTAAAACAATTACAGGCTTCTGTTTTACACTCACTTGGCAGGACAGTAGTACCTCCCTGGGTGGTTGCTGTCTACCAACCTACTACCTACATGATTGTGCTCTTAAATTGCTTAATTTCTTAAAACATTTTGTATTGAGCATTGCCTTTTTTTTTTTAATGGACGACTCATTCATATGTACTGAAATTTTCAGTAAATATCAGTTTATAATTTCTACTGCAATGTGCATCGTAATTTTCACATTCTTTACCTTGACTTATGCTTCATGTCTTGTATATACTGTTTTCAGATGTATAGTGTGAGAGATGCCATAGCTATGCACAGAGAGACACATCACGAGACTCAATTTAATCATTCTAATGCACTTATAAATGCATATATTGAGCTTGATATGTCTGCAGACAAAAAGGTAAGTTGTAAGAAAACATTATAATATTTTATGCTTTCTTTCCATGATCAACAATCATAATATACCTTCCCATTATGTCTGCATAAAAGCATGTGCAAAAATAAATTCAAACACACATTCAGTAGAATAAGCCTGCTAAAATCTATACCGTAGGGCCCTGACCCATGCGGTTCCAAGTTATGTTTTGTACATACAACATCAGCACTTTGGAACCAGTTAATTACTTACAAACACAAACTTTCTCTTTTCTTGGAGGTGAGAAATACAATGCCTGCAAACCATACCACGGGCGGGGCTAGAACCCGTGATCAGAGAGTCTCAAAACTCCACACCGTCGCGTTAGCCACTGGAACAGCTAGCCACAATAAGATTCGTCCAACTAGGTATATTTCTACACCATAGGAAGGTTAGCATAGGCACCACTGTGACCACAAATGCAAGTTTTTACAAGCGAATCTCCAGCTAGCGTGGCCACGACGAACTCTAGCTCAAGTCCCCTCAAAGCCGTCAACATGAGACACTCTGATCGTGGGTTCTATCCCCACCCGTGGTATGGTTTGTTTGCAATCGTGTCATTACGATTTTGAGAGTCATGTTGACAGTGCCTGAACTCTAAAGGAGGGGTTTGGGATATTTGCTATTTGGAGGGACATCTGAACTGTTGTATCTGTGAGCCTCTGGCAAGACAGTGATAGTGTGAATAATGGTAAAAGTGTTTTCTTTTCGGGCCACCCTGTCTCAGTGGTAGATGACTAATCATTTCCATGAATTCGTTTATTAATGTTACTTGCTCAAACCCCAAAAGCACACATCAACACGCTCTCACACACTTTCTGGAAATCATACCCTCGCACAGAAAACCTCCTTTACCCCCTCCCTCCAACCTTTTCCTAGGACGACCCCTAGGAAAGGTTGGTCATTTCCCACTGAGGTAGAATGACCTGGCAAAGAAACACTTCATCATCATTCACTTTATCACTGTCATGCAATGAGTAGTTTTTGAGAATTATTTTTTTTTTTTTTTTTTATTATACACACCGGCCGATTCCCACCAAGGCAGGGTGGCCCGAAAAAGAAAAACTTTCACCATCATTCACTCCATCACTGTCTTGCCAGAAGGGTGCTTTACACTACAGTTTTTTAAACTGCAACATTAACACCCCCTCCTTCAGAGTGCAGGCACTGTACTTCCCATCTCCAGGACTCAAGTCCGGCCTGCCGGTTTCCCTGAATCCCTTCATAAATGTTACTTTGCTCACACTCCAACAGCACGTCAAGTATTAAAAAACCATTTTGTCTCCATTCACTCCTATCAAACACGCTCATGCATGCCTGCTGGAAGTCCAAGCCCCTCGCACACAAAAACCTCCTTTACCCCCTCCCTCCAACCCTTCCTAGGCCGACCCCTACCCCGCCTTCCTTCCACTACAGACTGATACACTCTTGAAGTCATTCTGTTTCGCTCCATTCTCTCTACATGTCCGAACCACCTCAACAACCCTTCCTCAGCCTCTGGACAACAGTTTTGGTAATCCCGCACCTCCTCCTAACTTCCAAACTACGAATTCTCTGCATTATATTCACACCACACATTGCCCTCAGACATGACATCTCCACTGCCTCCAGCCTTCTCCTCGCTGCAACATTCATCACCCACGCTTCACACCCATATAAGAGCGTTGGTAAAACTATACTCTCATACATTCCCCTCTTTGCCTCCAAGGACAAAGTTCTTTGTCTCCACAGACTCCTAAGTGCACCACTCACTCTTTTTCCCTCATCAATTCTATGATTCACCTCATCTTTCATAGACCCATCCGCTGACACGTCCCACTCCCAAATATCTGAATACGTTCACCTCCTCCATACTCTCTCCCTCCAATCTGATATTCAATCTTTCATCACTAATCTTTTTGTTATCCTCATAACCTTACTCTTTCCTGTATTCACCTTTAATTTTCTTCTTTTGCACACCCTACCAAATTCATCCACCAATCTCTGCAACTTCTCTTCAGAATCTCCAAGAGCACAGTGTCATCAGCAAAGAGCAGCTGTGACAACTCCCACTTTGTGTGTGATTCTTTATCTTTTAACTCCACGCCTCTTGCCAAGACCCTCGCATTTACTTCTCTTACAACCCAATCTATAAATATATTAAACAACCACGGTGACATCACACATCCTTGTCTAAGGCCTACTTTTACTGGGAAAAAATTTCCCTCTTTCCTACATACTCTAACTTGAGCCTCACTATCCTCGTAAAAACTCTCACTGCTTTCAGTAACCTACACCATACACTTGCAACATCTGCCACATTGCCCCCCTATCCACCCTGTCATACGCCTTTTCCCAATCCATAAATGCCACAAAGACCTCTTTAGCCTTATCTAAATACTGTTCACTTATATGTTTCACTGTAAACACCTGGTCCACACACCCCCTACCTTTCCTAAAGCCTCCTTGTTCATCTGCTATCCTATTCTCCGTCTTACTCTTAATTCTTTCAATTATAACTCTACCATACACTTTACCAGGTACACTCAACAGACTTATCCCCCTATAATTTTTGCACTCTCTTTTATCCCCTTTGCCTTATACAAAGGAACTATGCATGCTCTCTGCCAATCCCTAGGTACCTTACCCTCTTCCATACATTTATTAAATAATTGCACCAACCACTCCAAAACTATATCCCCACCTGCTTTTAACATTTCTATCTTTATCCCATCAATCCCGGCTGCCTTACCCCCTTTCATTTTACCTACTGCCTCACGAACTTCCCCCACACTCACAACTGGCTCTTCCTCACTCCTACAAGATGTTATTCCTCCTTGCCCTATACACGAATATAACCTAAATATTCTTTTTTAAATTTTAGTATTATCATTCTTATGGCATACTATAGTAGCAGTTAAGAAAGTAAAATTTGTCTGGTAGTGTAAAAGATATGTATTTTATCCAAAAAAAAAAAGTATATATTTTTTCATCTGGCTCTTATTCTTAAATTATTTTAATCTTCTATTTTGCAGAATCGTTATATTGACAATTTTTCCAATGTAATTCAACTGCCATATCATTTTGAAAATGAACAACAAAGAACAGTTTTGGCCATATCTCGTAATGAAGAAGTGATTGAGCAAGCTTGGCAGATGGGAGTAACACTTGCAGCTGGACTTGATGTTGTTAAGCAAGTGCAGGTCAGTATTCCATACAGTAAAGAATAAAAAAAAGGCATGATACCATGACTGCAACAGTACACAAATAACCTGCACATAGGGGGCAGAGACTTATGAGGAAACTTCATCATAAGTTTCAGTGTCCTAAATGTGGGCTATTTGTGTATTCTGTACAATTGCTCTACACTGAAATTCTGTCTCAAAATCTATGATTTATCATTTAGAGTTTTCATTATACAATAAACAAAGTTCATAAAGGTGTGGTTGGAGTAATGTAGCACATCACTTTTTTTGTTTGGACTCATGAAATCATAATAATATGGTTGCAAACAAATCACAGAACAGGTGGGGCTCGTACCCATTATGTGATTTAATTTACTTTAATGTTTGATAATTATGCATGCAGCAACTTTAAAGACTATATTTAACAGTGTAACAAAAGATTGCTTCTTGAGTGAGTGATACAGTATACAGTATACACAGTATTTAAATTCCTTATTTTTTACCGTTTCATGACTAGACTGTGTCTAAAAAATGAAACATTCACCAGCAGGTCCCCTCAGGAAAGGTTCCTTGAGGTAAATGTTGGACTTCTGTTTCAAGGAATTGAAATTGACCTCTGTGACCAAGTAGATTAAAATGGTGTCTAAAGATTTATCTTGAATTTGTAAGTGCCCTTCAAGAAAGATTTCTTGATGCTGATGAAGGACTTTTGATTCAAAGAATTTTCTGTTTCCTCCCATTCCTTAGATTGCCTCCTATTCCCCAGGCACTGTATGACCCCTGTGGGCTTAGTAATTCCCTTTATAATAATAAGCATAGGGAACAAATGGATTTGTCAGTTAAAAACAGAGTAGGGGAGTTAATAGATGGGAGATGGAGGTTTTGGGTAGATGGCGAGAATATTTTGAGGAACTTTTAAATACGACAAAGAAAGGGAGGCGGTAATTTCATGCACTGGCCAGGGAGGTATATCATCTTTTAGGAGTGAAGAAGAACAGGATGTGAATATGGGGGAGGTGCATGAGGCATTACATAGAATGAAAGGGTAAAGCAGCTGGAACTGAACGCAATCATGACAGAAATGTTAAAAGCAGGGGGGGGGGGGGGGGATATAGTGTTGGAGTGGTTGGTGTTTTTTGTTTAAGAAATGCATGAAAGAGGGGAAGGTACCTAGAGATTGGCAGAGAGCATGTATAGTCCCTTTATATAAAGGGAAGGGGGACAAAAGAGATTGTAAAAATTATAGAGGAATAAGTTTACTGAGTATACCAGGAAAAGTGTACGGTAGGGTTATAATTGAAAGAATTAGAGGTAAGACAGAATGTAGGATTGCGGATGAGCAAGGAGGTTTTAGAGTGGGTAGGGGATGTGTAGATCAAGGGTTTGCATTGAAGCATATATATGAATAGCATTTAGATAAAGGTAGGGAAGCTTTTATTGCATTTATGGATTTAGAAAAGCCGTATGATAGAGTGGATAGGGGAGCAATGTGGCAGATGTTGCAAGTATATGGAATAGGTGGTAAGAGTTTTTATGAGGATAATGAGGCTCAGGTTAGGGTGTGTAGAAGAGAGGGAGACTACATCCTGGTAAAAGTAGGTCTTATACAGGGATGTGTAATGTCACCATGGTTGTTTAATATATTTATAGATGGGGTTGTAAAAGAAGTAAATGCTAGGGTGTTCGGGAGAGGGGTGGGATTAAATTATGGGGAATCAAATACAAAATGGGAATCGACACAGTTGCTTTTTGCTGATGATACTGTGCTTATGGGAGATTCTAAAGAAAAATTGAAAAGGTTAGTGGACGAGTTTGGGAGTGTGTGTAAAGGTAGAAAGTTGAAAGTGAACATAGAAAAGAGTAAGGTGATGAGGGTATCAAATGATTTAGATAAAGAAAAATTGGATATCAAATTGGGGAGGAGGAGTATGGAAGAAGTAAATGTTATCAGATACTTGGGAGTTGACGTGTCGGCGGATGGATTTATGAAGGATGAGGTTAATCATAGAATTGATGAGGGAAAAAAAGGTGAGTGGTGCATTGAGGTATATGTGGAGACAAAAAATGTTATCTATGGAGGCAAAGAAGGGAATGTATGAAAGTATAGTAGTACCAACACTCTTATATGGGTGTGAAGCTTGGGTTGTGAATGCAGCAGTGAGGATGCAGTTGGAGGCAGTGGAGATGTCCTGTCTAAGGGCAATGTGTGGTGTAAGTATTATGCAGAAAATTCGGAGTGTGGAAAATTAGAGAAGGTGTGGAGTTAATAAATGTATTAGTCAGAGGGCTGAAGGGGGGTTGTTGAGGTGGTTTGGTCATTTAGAGAGAGTGGATCAAAGTAGAATGACATGGAGAGTGGTTAAATCTGTAGGGGAAGGAAGGCGGGGTAGGGGTCATCCTCGAAAAGGTTGGAAGGAAGGGGTAAAGGAGGTTTTTTGGGCGAGGGGCTTGGACTTCCAGCAGGCGTATGTGAGCGTGTTTGATAGGAGTGAATGGAAACGAATGGTATTTGAGACTTGACGATCTGTTGGAGTGTGAGCAGGGAAATATTTAGTGAAGGGATTCAGGGAAACCGGTTATTTTTATATAGCTGGACTTGAGTCCTGGAAATGGGAAGTACAATGCCTGCACTCTAAAGGAGGGGTTCGGGATATTAGCAGTTTGGAGGGATATGTTGTGTATCTTTATACGTATTGCTTCTAAACTGTTGTGTTCTGAGCACCTCTGCAAAAACAGTGATTACATGTGAGTGAGGTGAAAGTGTTGAATGATGACGAAAGTATTTATTTTTGGGGATTTTCTTTCTTTTTGGGTCACCCTGCCTCGGTGGGAGACGGCCGAGTTGTTAAAAAAAAAAATAATAATAATAATAATCCTAGGTAGTAGGTTGGTAAACAGCAACTGCCCAGAGAGGTACTACTATCCTGCCAAGTGAATGTAGAACCAAAGCCTGTGATGGTAGGATTGCTAGTGTCTTCTTTTGTCTCATAAACATGCAAGATTTCAGGTACATCTTGCTACTTCTGCTTACACTTAGGTCACACTACACATGCATGTACAAGCATATATATACACACCCCTGTGGGTTTTCTTCTATTTTCTTACTAGTTCTTGTTCTTAGTTATTTCCTCTTATCTCAGTGGAACAGAATTCTTCCTCTGTAAGCCATGTGTGTCATAAGAGACAACTAAAATCCCGGGAGCAAGAGGCTAGTAGCCCCTTTTCCTGTATACATTACTAAAGTTAAAAAGAGAAACTTTTTTTTTTTTTCTTTTTGGGCCACCCTACCTTGGTGGGATACGGCTGGTTTGTTGAAAGAATAATAATATTGAAGAGTTAACTTGTGTTTGATCTGGGAGAGTGTGAGAACCCCAGGTGTTCATCTCACATTGGGGACATGTTTCCTGATTAGCTGGAACTATGTCCTGGAGGTGGAAAGTACAATGCCTGCATTTAAAATGAACCCATAATGTTAAATACAAGTTATTTGTTTTCTATTTTTGTACTTGTATATACTCTACTGAACATTATATAAAGTTTATTCTTTGATTTTTGTTATTATTAGGTTCATGGGGGGACTCATGAACTGTAGGGGGTTATACAGCACCTAAGGGAATGAGTTTGATCCAGGGAAGGGGAGATCAAGCTCACTTCCTTGAATCAAGAGCCCCCTTTCTGGCATTGAGGAACTGTCCTTGAAGGACTTTGTATAAATTTAATCCGTTTTTATTTGTTCCTTTTAGATTATATCTGTATCCTTAAATTTTTATAGTGAAATATTTCCAGAGTGGGGAGGTAAGCTTTCAGGATATCAGCACTTTATTGCTGAAAAAGACACTTTGCCAGACCTGGTACCCATTCGTGGGCTTATGAAGAGACGATTCCCAAGTGTTATGAATGGTGAGTACAGAATTCATAATGATTGTATTTTACGTGTCTTATAAGAGTCAGTAAAATCAAGTAAATAAAGATGAGCACTGTATTATACATCTCTCAATTTTTTAAAAATGGTAATATTTTTTTTATTATTTATTAACAGATCTGCTGTTTCCCACCAAGGCAGGGTAGCCCGAAAAAGAAAAACTTTCATCATCATTTACTCCATCACTGTCTTGCCAAAGGCATGCCTACACTACAGTTTAAAAACTGCAACATTAACACCCCTCCTTCAGAGTTCAGACACTGTACTTCCCATTCCCACGACTCAAGTCCGGCCTGCCGGTTTCCCTGAATCCCTTCGTAAATGTTACCTTGCTTACACTCCAACAGCATGTCAAGTCCTAAAAAACATTTGTCTCCATTTGTTCCTGTCTAACATGCTCACACATGCTTGCTGGAAGTCCAAGCCCCTCACACACAAAACCTCCTTTACTCCCTCCCCTCCAACCTTTCCAAGGCCAACCCTACTCTACTTTCCCTCCACTACAGATTTGTATACTCTCAAAGGCATTCTGTTTTGTTGCACCCTCTACATGTCCAAACCATCTCAATAACCCTCCTCAGCCCTCTGGATAATATTTTTGGTAATTCCACACCACCACCTTATCTCCAAACTATGGATTCTCTGCATTATATTCACACCACACATTGCCCTCAGACATGAGATCTCCACTGCCTACAGCCTTTTCCTTGTTGCAACATTCACAACCCATACCTCACACCCATACATTCCCCTCTTCGCTTTCATGGATAAAATTCTTTGTCTCCAGAGACTCCTCAGTGCACCACTCACCTTTTTCCCCTTGTCAATTATATGATTCACCTCATCTTTCATAGACCCATCTGCTGACACATCCACTCCCAAATATCTGAACACATTCACCTCCTCCATACTCTCCCTCCAATCTGATATCCAATCTTCCGTTACCGAATTTTTTTTTGTTTATCCTTACTCTTTCCTATATTCACTTTTAACTTCCTTCTTTCACATACCCTACCAAACTCATCAGCCAACCTCTGCAACTTCTCTTCAGAATCTCCCAAATGTATAGTGTCATCAGCAAAGAGCAACTGTGACAACTCCCACTTTGTGTTAGATTCTTTATCTTTTAACCCCACACCTCTTGCCAACACCTGAGCATAAACTTCTCTTATTACTCCATCTATAAATATATTGAACAACCATGGTGGCATCACACATCCCTGTCTAAGACCTACTTTTACTGGGAAATAATCCCCCTCTTGCCTACATACTTAACCTGAGCCTCAATGTCTTTGTAAAAACTTTTCACTGCTTTCAATAACCTACCTCTTATTCCATACATTGCAACATCTGCCACATTGCCCCCCCTATCCTCCCTTTTCCAAATCCATAAATGCAACAAAAACCTGTTTACCCTGATCTTAATACTTTTCACCTGTGTGTGTTGCTGCAAACACTTGGTCTAAATACCCCCTACTTTTCCTAAAGCTTCCTTATTCATCTGCTATTCTGCTCTGTCTTACTCATAATTCTATCAATAATAACTCTACCATACACTTTACCAGGTATACTCACTTTTTTTTTTTGAAAAAACCGGCCGTATCCCACCAAGGCAGGGTGGCCCAAAAGAAAAACGAAAGTTTCTCTTTTTAAATTTAGTAATTTATACGGGATAAGGGGTTAACAGCCCCTTGCTCCGGCATTTTAGTCGCCTCTTATAACACGCATGGCTTACGGAGGAAGAATTCTGTCCACTTCCCCATGGAGATAAGAGGAAGTAAACAAGAACAAGAACTAGAAAGAAAATAGAAGAAAACCCAGAGGGGTGTGTATATATATGCTTGTACATGTATGTGTAGTGTGACCTAAGTGTAAGTAGAAGTAGCAAGACATACCTGAATCTTGCATGTTTATGAGACAAAAAAAGGACACCAGCAATCCTACCATCATGTAAAACAATTACAGGCTTTCATTTTACACTCGGCAGGAATTTAGTACCTCCCTGGGCGGTTGCTGTCTCCCAAACCCTATTACCTAGAATACTCAGACTTATTCCCCTATAATTTTTACACTCTCTTTTGCCCCTTTGCCTTTATACAAAGGAACTATGCATGCTCTCTGCCAGTCCCTAGGTACCTTACCCTCTTCCATACATTTATTAAATAAAAACACTAACCACTCCAAACTATATCTCTACCTGCTTTTAACATTTCTATCTTTTATCCCATCACTCCCAGCTGCTTTACCCCCTTTCATTCTACTCACTGCCCCATGCACTTCCCTCACACTCACAACTGGTTCTTCCTCACTCCTATAAGATGTTATTCCTCCTTGCCGTATACATGAAATCGCAGCTTTCCTATTTTCATCAACATTTAACAATTATTCAAATATTCCCTCCATCTTCCTGATACCTCTAACTCTCTATTTAATAACTCTCCTCTCTTGTTTTTAACTAACAACTCCATTCTTTCCCTAGGCTTTCTCAACTTATTAATCTCACTCCAAAACTTTTTCTTCTTTTCAACAAAATTTGTTGATAACATCTCGCCCACTCTCCCATTTGCTCTCTTTTTACATTGCTTCACCACTCTTTTAGCCTCTCTTTTTCTCTTCATATACTTCTCCCTCCTTGCATCACTTCTACTTTGTAAAAACCTCTCATTTTGCTAACTTTTTCTCTCTTACTACTCTCTTTACATTATCATTCCACCAATCGCTCTTCTTCCTCCCCCCCCCCCCCTGCCACCCACTTTCCTGTAACCACAAACTTCTGCTGAACACACACTATATTCTTCAAACTTACCCCATACATATATCTCATTGCCTGTATTCTCACTAGCCCATCTCTCCTCCAACAGTTGTTTATATCTTGCCGTAACTGCCTCCTCCTTTAGTTTATAAACTTTCACTTCTCTCTTACTTGCCACTTCCATTTCCTTGTATTCCATCTTCCTTTTACTCTCACTGGTAATATGTATTGTAATATTTTTCTATCCTTGCCTTTCCAGTATTTACCCACCCCACAGATATGAAAGCTGGATAGTGAGTGTAGTGATCTCTCAGTTTATAGTATAGTAACCCTCTAATAGGAAGGGATGTTTTTCCAAGGCTGCTTCATTGCGGACTAAGGGATTGGTATCTTGCTTACAAACAGGAGATGACAATAAAGCTGTTATCTGTACTTCTGGCTAAAGGGCTGTAACTTGAGAGCTTCTTTCCCCTGCAAATAAGGTGGCCAAAACAGATCAGCTTGTCATGTATCCCAAACTCATATACTGGATAAACTGCTTGGTAATGGAAGTTACTCAGCATAAAATTACACCTCACAAAACTGCTCTTCTTTTTCCACTGCATGAAGAATATAAAACATTTGATAATAATAATAATAATAATAATAATAAGGCGGGGTAGGGGTCGTCCTAGAAAAAGGGTTGGCGGGAGGTTGTAAGGGATGTTTTATGGTGAGGGGCTTGGACTTCCAGCAAGCATGTGTGAGCATATTAGATAGGAGTGAATGGAGACGGATGGTTTTTGGGACCTGATGAGCTGTTGAAGTGTGAGCAGGGTAATATTTAGTGAAGGGATTCAGGGAAACCACTTGTTTTTATATAGCAGGACTTGAATACTGGAAATGGAAAGTACAATGCCTGCACTTTAAAGGAGGGATTTGGGATATTGGCAGTTTGGAGGGGTATGTTATAAATCTTTAAACATATATGCTTCTAAACTGTTGTATCTGGGCACCTCTGCAAAGACAGTGATTATGTGTGAGTGAAGTGAAAGTGTTGAATGATAATGAAAGTATTTTCTTTTTGGGGATTTTCTTTCTTATTGGGTCACCCTGCCTCGGTGGAAGATGGCCAACTTGTTGAAAAAAGGAAAAAAAAAAAAATAATTTTATTTTGGCATGATACATATTTGTACAAAGAAATGTAATAGTTGGGTGTACATGCCAAATGCCCCTTTATTTGCAGAGCATTTCAGGCAAACTTAAAATTTACTTATGATTAATAAAGCAATAACAGTACATATGGTCATTAGATGAGTTACAATGAATACCAGATAATTTAGCATTCTATTAGGTCGTGCTATATGGCTTTAATAAGTCTTGCAGAGAAGACATACAGTTTTGATTATTAACCTTAGGCGGACACAATGGAGTGATTACCATTTTAGATAAATACAGATATTGACAGTAAATATATATTGAATATGTTGACGAGAAAATTTTGAAAAGATTTAGCCTGACACGGGGAATGTCATAGAGGTTTTTGTGCCTAGTGTTTTGTCTGAGAGTCCTATTGCAACTGTCAAGAAAGCATTTCAGGTTGGGCTTTATATTAGAATTGATTGTTCTGTATATGTAGGGTTGCACAATAGTACAAGTGAATGTTTTGTATAGCGAGTAGGTTTAGGTCTTTGAAGTGTGGGGGGGGGGTTGTTGTCTAGCATTGGATTATGTGATCATTTGCACTGCAGCTTTTTATTTGTTACTATTGGTTTTAGATGGATTTTTGTTATGGAACCCCAGGCACAAATAGCATAGGTGAGGTATGGATAGATCAGTGAATAGTATAGTGTAAGTAGTGCTGTTTGTGCTACATAGCAACGTATCTTTGAGGATGCCAACTGTTTAAAAACCTTTTTTTGTTATGTGTTGGATATGGGTGTTGAATTTCAGGTTGTTATCAAAGGGGCAGACCCAGGAATTTTCCCTCATTATGTTTAACAATAAGGGTGTTGTTAAGCATAATGTTTAGTTGGATGAGTTGGAAACATCAGTGTACAGAAAATTCCTAATCAGGATGGCAGTATCCATAACCAAGTATTCTTGGTTATGGTTTATTAGCTGAGAAATAGGGAAAAAAGAACATCGATTTATTTTGTGTGATGAACTCAAAATGGAAGGCAAGTGATATATAGGCGAGGGCTGTGGATTTTATTAATGGGTAGAGGAAATGTTGCTTTAGTGGCT